CACACACACACACACACACACACAGAGAGAGAGAGAGAGAGAGAGAGAGAGAGAGAGAGAGAGAGAGAGAGAGAGAGGAGAGAGGCTGACAATTAGGCACACAAACCTCAGGGCCAGGCTACTTGGGCTCAATTCCATCTCTGGCTTTACTGAGCTTTATGGCCTGAGCAAGTCACTTTACCTCCTTATTCTCCAGTGCCCTCCTCTGTGATACAGACTGACAGGGGAATTGGCACTGAGGTCCTTGCAATGAGGCCTGGCAGGCTCTGAGCACCGGTCACGTGCATTGACATCGTATGATAATGACTCACTGACAAGTGACCAGAGGGCAACTCAAGGTCACCCTCCCCAGGCTGTGCAGGATGAAGGGATTAGAGTGAAGTGATGAGAGGTGGAGGAGGCTGCTGCAGTTATCCATGGCAGATGATATCTGAGGTCAGGAGCAGCAGGGATGGCAGAGAGAGAAGTTTGGATAGACTTCAGAAGAATAAACACTAGGATGTGGTGACTAACAGGCTAAGGGCAGGAGGGGGTGAGGTGTGCCTTTAGGTGGCTTCTGGGTTTCTGATTTGGATAACTGGATGGATGGATGGATGGATGGATGGATGGATGGATGGATGGATGGATGGTGGGATCGTTCATGGAGATGGAGAAAATAGAAAGAGAAAATGCAAACATCATGTCACTGGCCAAATCTAGTACATGGTACTTACGGGATCCAAACCAAGCCTTTATCAATTACTATTACCATTTATGTTATTATTATTGTACATTATTTGTGCACAATAATGTCATGTGAACTTTTCACATATGTATATTCTTGGATTCTATTCACCCCTGCTTCCCTTCTCTTGTCCCTTCCTACTTCCCAATAGTTCCTCCTTACCTCCAATATAAGCTGTGTTACATGAAAGATACACGTTATATAACATTGTCTATACAATCTGTGTTCCACCTATGAGCCTCAGACTCACAGAGATCTGCCTGCCCAATTCCCTAGGGCCAAGATTAAAGGTGTGTGCCACCACTCCTAGCCTGAGTCTGGTTTGTTTTGTATAACATGGTGATCTCCAGCTCCATCCATTTTCCTGCAGATGATGTAATTTCATTTTTCCTTATAGCTAAATAAACCCCCATTGTGTGTATCTCCCTTCTTCCCAGTCTCCTTCCCTTCCCTACCCCTCCCTCCCTCTCCCTCTGTGTGTGTGGTAAGCGTACTTGTTAGTGTATACACATACATGTGCAGAGGCATGAGGTTGACACCAGGTGTATTTCCTTGATTACTCTCTACCTGTAACATGAATTTTAAAAGGTCTCATAATAAAAAACCCAGAGCCAGATATTGGGGTGAAAGCTGAAAGATCAGAGAAGCAGAACAGCCAGCCACTAGTTCTTACCTCTAGGAAACCCTCAGTCTAAAGAGAGTGAGTTCCTGTTTCCTCACGCCTTATGTACCTTTCTGTGTCCTGCCATATTACTTCCTGGGATTAAAGGCGTGTGTCACCACTGCCTGGTTCTGTTTCTCTCATGTAGCCCAGTGTGGCCTTGAACTCACAGAGATCCAGACAGATCTCTGCCTCCCTAGTAATAGGATTACAGGTGTGTGCCACCACTGCCTGACTTCTATGTCTAATCTAGTGGCTGGCTCTGTCCTCTGATCCCCAGGTAAGTTTTATTGGAGTATACAATATATGACCACATCCACCTTTATTTTTTTGAGACTGTTTCCCTGAGCTCATTGGCTCTGCCAGGCTGGATGGTCCATGAGCTTCTGTGACCTGCCTGTCTCTGCACACTTAAATCATTCTTTCCCCTGCCTTTTTACACAGGCTCTGGGGAGCCAGACCCAGGGCCTTGTGCTTGCATGGCAGACATTTTATGAGCTGAACCATCTCCCCAAACCATCTTCTTTATCTATTCAATATCTGTTGACAGGCGACTAGGCTGATTTCATAACTTGGCTGTTGCGACACACTCATAGCGTCACTATGAATGCAGGCACGTGGCTGTCTTTTTTGTACACTGGTGGTGTTGCCGTCAGGAATTTACACAAGTGTCAAACTAAGTCCTCTGCTTTCAGACCCTGAACTTTTCTCATTTGCTCCCCTTCCAGTCGCTAGAGTGGTGGCCCTTTCTTGAGGTGACACGGATTGTTAGACAACAGGGTGAAACATCATGAGTCAGCCAGCTCGGCCGTGCGCCCAGCCTGGTGGGCAGCCCTGGCGTAGAAGGAGGACTGAAGACTATGACAAGCTGTGTGCCAATGGTTTGGGACAGAAAGTTCCAAGGGAACTGGGGGATCATGGGAAGTGGCTAGGGACCATTCCGTGGACCATCTCAGCACGGCTGGTACAAATCTAAGGCCAACAGCATAGAAATGTGAGATTCACACTCAATCCTCACTCGAGGGCTCTAGTGCTCTGCTCAGAGGCTCCGATCTCTGGCCATTTTCTCCCAGCCTGGTCTAAGAGAGCAGCGTGTGTGTGTGTGTGTGTGTGTGTGTGTGTGTGTGTGTGTGTGTGTGTGTGTATTACTCTCTAAGTCCTTTGGTGTAGACAATGGCTATACAAAGCTCCAGAGTGGGAATAAGTGACTTTGGGGAAGTGGTAAAGTTTACCCCAAAGTGACTGGTTGGTGACTAGCAAGGGACTTGGGAGAAAGTCAGTGCTCAGCAGATGCCTACAGTGAACGGGATGGCTTTCCATGGGCATGGGTAGATAGGGGATGTCACGGTGGCCACAGGTGTTTCCCACATCAACATGGCTCTGCCCCGTGGCCCATTCCTGGGACTACGTGCTAGTATAGCCGGTCACCTGGAGATCAGAAGACTGTGCCCACCTCTAGTCCTCGGCAAGTGCAGCAGGCACTCTTAAATGCTGAGCCATCTCCCCAGCCCAGTTATAAAGAAGTATGACTATTTTGCTATTGTTGTCTTCTGCAACCTTGTTAAGCCTAGAGTTCCATGTTTTAAAACTGTTTATAACTAATTCATTAAATTTGCAGTCCTGGGGATTGAACTTAGGACCTTACACCTGCCAAGAAAACTCCCTACCACTGAACTGTATCCCTAGGCCAAGGGATCCATGCTTCGCTTGACAATAATCACCCCAGGGAACAGTGGATCAAGAGAGGAAGGCCTGTAGGCATCATCAGAACAGCCCACATGTCTCAGGGAGCATCACCAGACGTCAGGGTATAGTCCAGATATTAGGGGCCATCCTTGTCTGACATTTGAATGCAAATGATCTCTCAGTAATTCCCTCTTCCTCTGGTCCCACATGTTACAGCCCTGGTTACCAGGATCCTACCCTCCTTCAAGCATATGCAAAGAACTCATTCTAACATGCCATTGGCCTCCCCCACCCTGACTCGGGCTGAGGATTCTTCAAAGCACCTCCTTGGGCATGGATGGGTGTTGGAAAGGACACTTCCAATCTGTCCCTGCCAGGGCCCCCACCAACTACAAGCTCTGCTTCTGTGGAGGTTTTGCCAGGCGCCAAAAACATCTCCAGTGCTCTGGCCAGGAGCAGCCAATGGAAAGCACAGCCAGGACCCCTCCCTCTCTCCTCCAGTGGCACCCCAGTTTCCTGCCGCCGGTTTCTCTCTCTTTTGCCTGTCTGCCTGACTCAGAAGTGAGGACTCACGGGGCAGCAGCTTCAGCAGTACTAGGGGCTCCAAGGCACCTCATCTTATCCTCTGCCCCGTGGTCTCTGGAGGGGTGCGACAAAGATGTCCTGGAGACCAGTCATCCTCCTGTCATTGCTCATGGCCATGGTGCTCCTGTGTAGTGAGTATGGGAGGGCGGAAAGGGTGGGCTGCATTAGCTACACAGTAAGACCTTCTTTATATAGGTCAGTTGGCTCAGGTGCCATAGGTGGAAAGGAGTGTGTTTGTTAAGTGTTTATTAAAGTAGCTATTCTTGGTGTGTGTGTGTGTGTGTGTGTGTGTGTGTGTGTGTGTGTGTGTAAGATAATATAACACAGAGAAAAATAGCAAAGATAACAAATAGGAAACAAGTCAGCTCATATGGTAGATTCTCATAAAGATTGGCTATGTGACTGGTATGTTGAGGGGCAGAGGGCCCCACATCTACTGCACCCAGAATTATTGAAGCCCCACTGGGGGCTCTGATGCTGCAACCTGTCCCTGTACCCTATCCCACAGTGCTACAAGAGGGGACCAGCGCTTCTGTGGGGAGTAGACCGGCAGCCGGAGAAGAGGCACCAGAAGGTGAGTCCAGGGGACATCCTTACACGTGGGACAGGTGGCCCCTGCTCCCCCACTCCATGCTGGTTGTGAAGAGTACTTTTCTGGTTTCAGGTGTGAAAGAGAAGAAGATTTTCATGCAAGAATCTGATGCCTCAAATTTCCTCAAGAGGCGTGGCAAGAGGTCTCCCAAATCCCAAGACGAAGTCAATGGTAAGGAAGCCGAATGGTCTCCCTCCCACAATAGAATGCCAAAGCCCACGGATATTAGGGTGAACTAGAGCTCTAAATGAGCAGTTGTACCATATTTGGGGCCAGTGAGATGGCCCAATGGGCGAAGGTGACCCAAATTCAATCCCTGGAACCCACATAGTAGGAGACAACTGACTCCTACAAGTTAGCTTCTGACCTCCACATGCACACTGCGGCATACATGTGTTCCTAACACATGAAATAAAATGTAGACATACCATACAAAAATGGTATCATATTTCACTGGTTGTGGGTTACAGGTTGGATCACTGTGGCATTGAGATAAGGAACAGTAAAAACTATGCCACATCAAGATGTGGCACCGAGATGTATTCAGAAAGTGAAAAAAACTTAGAGGGAATGTCTGCTAGGTCTAAAAGGAATAGGCCACTTCAGTGTGCTTTAAGGAGCAGTGGCATGGTGCACTCAGGACAACAATGTGGCACTCAGGGGACCAGTAGTAGGGACCTAAGTGCTCAGAAGTGTAGGCTTGGTGGCAGTCTGTTGCTGAGTGGCTGCAGCCACGTCCTCCCTCTGATTCCAGTTTCCTTACCTATAGACCCAGGAAAGAGGCAGGGGGCAATGTATCAAGGGAGGGAGCCGGTGGGTTTTTGTTTTGCTTTTCTTCAGTTTAATTTTCTGTGAATTTTGGAGTCTCCGGGACCTGAAGACTCTGGTTCTTGACCTTCCGACCCAGGAGGCCTTGGACTTTCCTTTCCCTGAACTGATTCTTCCAAGCCTCTGAGCTCGGACTGTCCTGGCTGAGTCTACAGCATGATTCTTTCCTTGTGTGTGGGGATGAATGAACTCTTTGTGTCCCTTACCACAGTCAGCAAGGTGACTTCTTGTTCAGTAAAAACAGCAGGATTATTTTCAAATGATGGGGAAGAACGGAGATAGACATGCTTGCAGATCATTCTTTTTTTTTTTTTTAATTGGAGAAGTCAAACCAACCGCAGTAGGAAAATTGCCAGACTGCACAAACGTTCAAATTTGAAGCAGGCCAATGCCAAGCAACATTGAAAGTCTGGGTTGGAGGTGCAGTCCCTGATTGCAATCGGAGAAGCAGCCTCTGGCAGACTTTGCGGGAGGAAACAGGTTTGGACAGGGAATTATCTTCTGCCCTGTGAAACTGAGTCGGAATAATGAGGGGTAGGATTAAGCCTGAGGTCTCTCACCTTGGACGGAGGCTCAGGCAGGCAGGCAGTGGGGGGGTGGCAGCATATCCAAGTGAATCCCCAGGACTTCACAGAAGTACATCAGCAGTCACTGGGACCAGCTGCTGTGGACAGGTAGAGGAGCATCACCTTGGAGTAACCTGAACTTGGAGCTGCTTTAGAATAAGAATAGGATGGATGTGTATTTGTGTGTGTGTGTGTGTGTGTGTGTGTGTGTGTGTGTGTGTGTATACATGCATGTGGAGACCAGAAGACAATTTCAGGTGTCGTTTCTAAGTTGCCATCCACTTTTCGTTTTGAGGCAGGGTCTCTTAGGGGCCTGGAACTTGTCAGCTAGTCTAGTCTGGCTGGCCAGCAAGCCCCTTGGACAGCTCTTCCATCCCAGCTCTGGGATTACAAGTGCATGGCACCATGCCCAGTTACTTTTAAAAGATGTATACAATGTGTATGTTGGCACATCCTATAAAACACTGTTTTGGTAGAGAATGAGATCATTCTTTGTTATCGTTACATCAGATGTCCGATTTTTGGATGGCTTCTTTTACAAAGCTGCTTCTTCAGGAATGGGGAGTCACTCAGAATGTCCTGCCCAAACCTGAGCACTCCTGTGGCAGCTTTCTGATATCTGGAGCCACATCAGAGCTGCCAGTGAGTCAGAAGGGAGACACTGCTATGTAAGTGTCCAGGCTGCTGTGTGGCCTCCACTAGGTCAGCGGACCTCTCTGAGCCTGAATCACCTCCTGAGGAATCTGTAGGATGTGGAGATGGACTGGACTGTGGACCGTTTCTGTCAGGATAAAGTTTTCTGCCACTGTAAATAAAGGCAACTTTAGGAAGAAACAAAGGATTTCCTTCAGAAATCTGTACTATGGCAAATACAGAGATAGCCTGGATTTAATGAGTTAATTAGTATTCACATGTTTACTTATCAGTATAAGCTTCTTGCTTGAGGTTTTCTTCCTTTTCCCCCCTCTACTCCCATATTTCTTTTTTTCTTCTTTCCTCCCCCAACAAAACACAACAAACAAAAATCCCATTCAGTGATTCACCCTGGGTTGTGTGTATGTGCGCATGTGCATACCACAGTGTGTGTAGAGGTCAGAGGACAGTTTATGGGCACTGATTCTCCTCTTCCACCATGTAGATTTTGGGGTTCACGTTCAAGTTGTCAGGCTTGGTGGTAAGTACCCTGTTGCTGAGCCGTCTTCCTGCCCCCTCTTCTCCTCCCCTCCCCCCGTACTAGGTATTGACTTCAAGGCCTTGTGTGTGGTAGACAAGTCCAACACTCTGTGCCGTGGAGCTGATGAGCACTGCCCTTGCCTTAGCTCGTCTGCTTCTCTTTCTCCTCTTGCATGTCAGTGTCGGGGGGCAACAAGTTCTATAGTCCGGTCTGTGATGTGAGGGGACCCTTGAGAATGGGAGGCAATCTGAGGGGCCCACTCTTCCTGGAGTGCCCATGACCCTTAGGCCTTCAGTGTGCTTTCCGGTTGAAGGACACATTATAAGAACCTTTAAAGAGCTTTACATATCATCTTCCAGAGCATCACAGCTCTCGGACCTTCATTCTAGAAGCCACCATGCTTGGTGAAAACTTGCTTGAATATTACTGTTATTTTGCAATGTTGGGAATTGAACCTTAGGACTTGCACATTCTCAGCAAGTGCTCTACCATGGAGTCACACTCCCTAGCTTGCTGACACGTGATTTCACACCCTTCTTAACGGCACAATGGGGTTGTCCCTCCTAAGAAGTGGCAGAATGGCGTCTTTTCTGCTTTTACTTTTTAAGTGACGTGAATGCATTTACTTTGGGTGTGTCTGTGCCTTTTGTATGTAGCAAGTGCGCACCTGCTAAGTGCACAAGCAGATGTCAGAGGACAGCCAGTGCGAGTCAGTTCTCTCCTACCATATGGGTCCTAGCGATTGGATCATGTCATCAGGCTTGGTGACATGCACTTTCACCCACTGCGGCATCTGGCCAGCCCCTCTTATCTACCCTTTTAATCTCAGTGCTAACCCCCACATCCTTGCTGAGACAGAAGGTATTCACCCATGTGAGATGAACTTTTAAAACTTTTATTTTTACCTGATGTCTATGGGTGTTTTGCCAGCATGTATATATTATGTACACAGCATGCATTCCAGTGCCCATGGAGGCCAGAATAAGGGCACTGGATTCCCTGATTGTGAGCTGCCGTGTGGGTGCTCAGAATCAAACCCAGGTTCCCTGGAAGAGCAGCCACTGCTCTTAACTGAGGAGCCATCTCTCCAGCCCCAAAGTGAACTTTCAATCCAATTAACCTTTAGAGTTCATTTCCCATCACGGGAGTTCAAGTTTCTAAGTGGCCTGGTACTTGGATCACACCACTAACTTTGTGACCAGAGCCAAAGCACTTTCCCCTTATGGGCCTCTGTCTTCTCTGCAAAATGGAGTGACTGGATAGGGTGGTCTCTCAGGCCCTTCGTGTTTTAAAAAGTCCAGGTGAGGCACAAACCACTTCAGCAAAGTCCTTGATCATCCTCTTCACATCAGCAGATCCAGTTTCTTGGGTACAGTGTGGTGTTTGCCATCACTCACACACGGGTACAGTGTGGTGCCATCGCTCACACACGGGCACAGTGTGGTGCCATCGCTCACACACGTGCCCTGCTTGCTCCTTTCTCAAGAGTAACTCTGTTTTCACAGCGGAAAACAGACAGAAGCTGCGGGATGATGAGCTGCGGAGAGAGTATTATGAGGAACAAAGGAATGAGTTTGAGAACTTCGTGGAGGAACAAAGAGATGGTAAGAGCTCTCCAGCAGCATCCTTGGGGAGAAGAGCATAGTGAGGAAAGCCAGCCCGGGCTTGCCCCCCCCCCATGTTTCCCTGCTGTTGACTGGAGGAGGGAGGTAAGGGCAGGGGACCCATTTTCAGTACCTATCCATGGTAGATGTGAAGAGAGCAAGTAAAAAAAAAAATGGCTAAGCAGGCTTGGAAAGTTGTGAAGGAGGACAAAGGACATGTAGGGTTGGGGACACGCTGGCTTGGGGACAGAGGAGACCAGGGAGTTATTGGCTGACTGTATGGAAATAAAATTCCCCCCATGAGCACCCCAAACTGTGACTTGGCTCCTACAGGGTTGATGGGTGGATATCAAAGTCATGATCATGAGTTCCTTAGAAATCAATGAACCAATTCCAGGTGCCACTTTATCCAGTAAAATCAAGACCACTTACTTACCTGTTCACTACAATCAGTGTTCTCTTTTTCTTTCTTTCTTTCTTTCTTTCTTTCTTTCTTTCTTTCTTTCTTTCTTTCTTTCTTTCTTTCTTTCTTTCTTTCTTTCTTTCTTTCATTTTCATGTGTGTGTGCTCATGCATACATATGTGGAGGTCTGTGGTTGATGTTAGGGATCATCCTCGATCGCTCTTCCACCCCATTCACTGAGGCAGGGCCTCTCAATCAAACCCAGAGCTTGCCAATATGGCTAGTCTCATTATCCAGCTCTCTTTGGAGATGCTGTCTCCACCTTCTGAGGCTGGGGCCACTGTGCCCACTCAGCATTCTACATGGATTTTGATTCTCTCTCTGGTCTTCACACTTGTAGGTGGCAAGATCATTATCCACTAAGTGATCTCCCCAGCCCATAACAACATTCTGGTTCAGAGAACAGACGACAGAGAAAAGCACTGGTTCTTTTTACCCTGCCTTGTACCCGACTTCTAATATCTTTATTCCATCTTGGCTTCTCAATCACCCAATAGCAGCATGGATCCTGGAAGGTTTTATCCCCCCATGGGTTTCTGTGCCTTCACTCATTTGTCGGAGGTGGCCTTTTTACTAAGCCTTCACTCTTGTCAATAGAGGAGAAAAGATGCAGAGAGCCCAGGGTCTCTGACAAGGCAGTGGCACACCCTTTTTCTACACACGGGGCTCCTATCTGCCCTCAGGACATGCTCACACCAGGCCTCAGTGGAGGAGGTGTGGGTGGGGATAGGATCTCCGGAAGGTTCTGTCTGAACCACAGCTGGCTAGTGGTCTCAAGTGTCACCCATAACAAACATCCATAGGGACACTTAAGTGAGAGAAGGCTGGGAGATGGGAGAAAGGGAGACAGGGGAGAATGAGGATAGGGACATTTCTCTTTGGGTCTTTTCCAATTTCAAGCCTGACACGCTCCCACACAGTCTCTCGGAACCTCCTGGTGCACAAGCTTGGGTACAAAGCCTTCACTCAGGTTTTGTCAGCTTTCTGTTCTCCTGGCTTCTGGGCTCTGATGGCTGAGGAGGTCCTTCCTTTAAGGGCGCAGTGAAAAGATTGTGCTGCTGGGGACCGAGGGCTGAAGCTGTGCCCGCTCCCCTGCAGGTGGCACCTAGCGAAGCCCTGCAAGCAGGTGCTGGGCTCAAATCCTAGGAAATCTAACTCTGTTGGGAACATAGTGCAAGGAACTCAGATTGTCACCGCAGGAGCAAATGCTTCTGTTAGAGATTTGTTGATCTTGGCGAGCAGCTGAGGAGAGCCGTCTTGTTTTTAAAATCCGAGGATTTGGAATCCAGATTTCCTTCAGTGTAATTTTTACTCACACTGTTCCTAATAACACTCGACACAGTGCCATTTTAAATGTTTCAGGCCTTTGCTAGGCCTGGTGATGCTGGTATGGAATCCCAGCACTTGGTGGATTGAAGCAGCTTTGAAGCCAGCCTGGGCTACATAGAGAAACGATCTCCAAAAACAAAAACAAACAAACAAAAACATAAACCAAGCAAAATGTATCATTTTCAAATTTCTAGCATATGGATGGAATAACACTACTGTTTTCTCTCTGGTGATGAGATGGCATGTGGGGCTTCGGAGGACACTAGGACTGTGGTCCTTGAGTCCCACCTGAACAGAGAGGACCAGCAGGGCAGAGGGTGTTGGGGACTGTCACTACAGCAGCTGCTGGCATTGAGCATTTGTATGACAATCCCTGCAACATTCCTCTGAAGACAGGACTTACCATTTTCATTTTACAGTTGGAAAGAGTGAGACTTGGAAAAGGCGCACAGCCACACACGGTGATGTGCTAGGAGACGCCCTAGGAAGGGAGGTCAGGTTTGCCTGCCAGCAGCAGCTGCTCTTCTCCATCACAGTCATGGAGGCCTTGGGGGATCTTCCCGCTGGTCCACAACGATGAAGACATGAGCAGGGAGAAAGAGAGACCTAAATGGTCTCTCCAGAGCTTAATAAAGAAAGGGGGGCCGGGCGGTGGTGGCGCACGCCTTTAATCCCAGCACTCGGGAGGCAGAGGTAGGCGGATCTTTGTGAGTTCGAGGCCAGCCTGGGCTACCAAGTGAGTTCCAGGAAAGGCACAAAGCTACACAGAGAAACCCTGTCTCGGAAAAAACCAAAAAAAAAAAAAAAAAAAAAAAAAAAGAAAGGGGAAAGAGAGTCAGCCTAGCTCACCACAGAATCAATTTTTTTTTTTGGCTTTTCGAGACAGGGTTTCTCTGTGTAGCTTTGTGCCTTTCCTGGATCTTGCTCTGTAGACCAGGCTGGCCTTGAACTTACAAAGATCCGCCTGCCTCTGCCTCCCAAATGCTGGGATGAAAGGCATGGGCCACCACCGCCCGGCTGCTATGTATGTGATTTTTAAGGACTCCAGGTAGTGAAAAATAACAAATATTGAAAGCTATAAACTAGACGTTACAATTGGCAGGCAATAAGATACCCTTTTTAAATTAAATTTATTCATTTTTTTTCTATCCCAACTGCGGTTTCTCCTCCCTTTCCCCCAGCCCCCTCACCCACCAATCCACTCCTCCTGTTTCTATTCAGAAAGGGGCAGGGCCTCCCATGGGTGTCAACAAAGCATGGCATATCAAGCTGAGGTAGGACTGAGCTCCTCCCCTTGTATTAAGGCTGGGCAAGCGACCCCATATGAGGAATAGGTTCCTGGAAGCCAGCCAAAGCATTAGGGCCAGGCTCTGTTCCCACTGCTAGGAGTCCCACGAGTAGACCAAGCTACACAACTGTCCCACATATGTAGAGGGCCTGGGTCAGCCCCATGTCACCTGCAGCTTTTTTCCTGCGCCCCATGCCGATCTGCTTCCCGTTAGCAGTTTTGTTTATTTGTTTGTTTGTTTGTTTTTCGAGACAGGGTTTCTTGTAGCTTTGGAGCCTGCCCTGGAACTCACTTTGTAGCCCAGGCTGGCCTCGAACTCACAGAGATCCGCCTGCCTCTACCTCCCGTGTGCTGGGATTAAAGGCATGCGCCACCACCGCCTGGCTCAGTTAGCAGTTTTATGTTAAGCCACTGTAAGTTTGAGCTCTCCCAAGTGAGCTGCTTCCTAAAACGGACACCTGGTCAACAAAGAGATGCTTAATCAGCATCCATGTCAAAGTCATAGCTGGAAGAGGAATTGCTCCACTGAGCTTGAAAAATGTCTGGAAGGCTAAAATCCCCCACCAGGGCTGGGCTCTGTATGTACCAGGTCATTCCAGGTACCAAATACAAAAGGGGATTTCAGGGCGAAGGGGAACATCTTGTAGGCTCACACAGAAATGAGACATCCTCAGTAGCCATGGTTTCTGACACTTGCATCATCCATCCCTTTTCCAGCTAGTTTTGACAACAAAATGTTAGTTTTGAAGCTTAGAAAATATAGAACATGTCAGGCATGGTGGCACATATCTGTAATTCCAGCACTCAGGAAGTTGATGCCGGAGGATCATGAATTCTAGGTCAGCCTAAGCTGCATAATACGATTTTTATCTCAAAAAAGCAAAAAACAAACAAACAAACAAACAAAAAAACCCACCCAATTTATAGAGAGAAAGTGCCAAGATTCACCACTCCATGCTGTCAATAATTTCCATGTTTGTCTTTATACTGTTATTTCTTTGTGTGCATGTGTGCATGTGCATGTAGAGGTGAGAAAACTATTTGTGGGAGTTGGTTCTCTCCTTTCACGTGGGTTTTAGGGTGGGACTCAGGTTGTTCAGCTTAACAGCAAGCACCACCCCAGACAAACCATCTCACTGGCCCTCATACATGACTTTTCCAAGGTGTGGCTTGTCCGCATGTGGCCGTTTATGTTCCTTGTTAGTTTGGTGTCTAGTCGTCTGTTTAAGTGACTGAGTAAGACTCTTTCCCTCATTGGTAGTAAAGGTAAGGCAGCTTGGGTGTCAACCGGCTCCGACCTCGACCTTTACCCTCTTGCCTGTGTACACATGCTCATCGGCCCCTTCCAGCTCTGATCCTGGGAGTCTCCTGGGCACACAGGAACACTTAGCTCAGTGTCCCCTCAGCACGTGCTGTGGGCCGATCAACCATTGCAGCTGGGTTGGGTGTCCTCTAGACCACACAATGACCTTTGTCCTTCCTCCTCAGAGCAAGAAGAGAGGACCAGGGAGGCGGTGGAGCAGTGGCGACAGTGGCATTATGATGGCCTGTACCCTCCCTACCTCTACAACCGCCATCCCATCTGACCTCCCATCGGACCTGGACCTGAAGCAACTGGGGGAAGGGGGCATGAGACACGCCCACCCCCCCACCTCTCCCCCCGACCCGCCTCCCGCCCACTGCCTCTCTCCTACAGACAGGCCCACAGGGTGACCCTGGGGCTGCTCAGGCCAGCAGCTCCTGGGAACACACGTCCTTTATTCCGATATCTCACAATGCCCGGCTTTTGCGTCTTTGTGGATGATTGTTTTTTTTTTTTGAGGTGAGCAACCACCTGTATTTTTTTCCCATGATCAAATCTACATGTTGTCTCCTTGCTTAGCCACCGGC